TCCAGACACATTTTTAGTAATATTCCCTGCCTGCTAAACCAGATCAAATAAACCCAAATGTTGCCTAAGTTGCAGGTTAATGGGCATATGTGTACGTACGTACACACACACACACACACTCTCTCTCTCTTTCAAAAATACATAAGCCTTAGATGGCAGAATGCCAAAGAAAGGAATTGACCTCTAGGTTTACCATGCACAGATCTTTTTGTTTTTTAATTATAGAGTGTGTGTGTGTGTGTGTGTGTGTGTGTGTGTGTGTGTGTAAACATATGGAGGTAAGAGGACAATGTGCAGGAATTGGTCCTTTTCTTGTACTATGTGGGTCACCAGCCTTGGAAGCAAGAGCCTTTACTCACTGAGACCTCTCAACAGCATTAACTCTCTCCTTATTTTTGGAGACAGGGTCTTACTATGGAGTCCTGGCTGGCCTTGAGCTCACAGAGATCGGCCTGCCTCTGCATCCCAGGTGCTGGGAGCTTTTTTTAATACATGAACAACCTGAAGATTAGAGAATGACACCACCATAATCACACCTGCTCTCCTGTGAGCACAGGCCATTCAGAAAAGGCTTTAACAGCTGGGATATCTTTGACTCACCACAGTTCTTGGGGTAGCCCAACCAATGCTTCAGCCTGAAAAAGTAGTTACACAAAAATTTAATGGGGGCCAGGCACAGTGGCTCATAACTTTAATCCCAGCACTTGGGAAGGGCAGAGGCAGATGGATCTCTGTTAGTTAGAAGCCAGCTTAGTCTAAATAGCGAGTTCCAGGCAAGAAAGAAAAAGAAGGAAGGAAGAAAAGATAAAGTAGGGGCCCAACGAGATGGCTCAGCGGGTAAGGGCTGTTGCTGCTGCACCTGCCAACCCAAGTTCAATCTCCAGAGCCCTGTGGATTATCTTCTAACCCCCACATGCATACACACATACTAAATACAGGCCAAAAATGGTTTTTCATTAAATAGGAGCTTGCATGTGGCTTGAAGGGAGAAGACTTGCTTGCATGCAGGATCTGCATTCCATGCCCAGCACCAAGGGTACAAGGAAATTAGGTAAGTAAGTAAAGCTCCACAACTAAGTGCAAGCTAAACCACATGTGGCTGACCAATAGGACAGCCAACTTTTAAGACGAAGTTAAGTGGAAATCCATGAGATGAAGAGAGAACCTCGGAGCATGAGCCACAAATCTCAATCTTGAAGGCAGGCCTGCTGTGGCTCCTCCCCCATCCACACCACCTCACCACCAGCCTCCAAGCTCTTCTGAAAGCTCCAGAAGTGGCCCCATCCTGCATCCTTGTCCTTCATGTGAGGCCGGGTCACCTGCCCTAGTCCTCGGCCTGGGCTGGTCCCTGTGCCTCTCCCATAACAAGGACACTGCCAGTTGTTCTCTTCTTTCCAATCAAAGTGGATGCTGTGACATTTGCGTACACCTCTGTGACCACCAAGTGCCCTGGAAAGGGGCAGGATGAAAGCAGTCTCCTCCCCAGGAATTCTCTGACCTGCACTTCTCTGGTATGGAGCAGGGAACAGAATAGGATGAACCAGCACCCACTTTCCCTCTCTGGCCTCACTCCAGATCCCTCCACAGAAGGAGGACCCCAAGATTTTCATTATCAGGAAAATCTCTCCTTCCAGGCATGCAGCTTCTTCTTTTTTTAGATTTATTTATTTATTTAATGTATATGAGTGCTTTATCTCCATGCACGCCTTTACACCAGAAGAGGACCACCATGTGGTCGCTGGGAATTGAACTCAGGACCTCTGGAAGAGCAGCCAGTGCTCTAACCACTGAGCCATCTCTCCAGCCTAGGATGCAGCTTCTTTGTTTTTGTTTCGTTTTGAGACAGGGTCTCATGCTCTATAGCAGTGATTCTCAGCCTGTGGGTCTCGACCCCTTTGGGGTTGTGTAGCAGATATTTACATTATGATTCATAACACCAGCAAAATTACAGTTATGAAGTAGCAAAAAAAAAATTTATTGTTGGGGGTCACCACAACATGAGGAACTGCATTAAAGGGTTGCAGCATTAGGAAGGTTGAGAACCACTGACCTATAGCTAAGGCTGACCTTGAACTCATGATTCTCCTGCCTTTACCTTTGGAGTGCTGGGATTACTGGCATGCTTCACCACACTGGCATAGAACTGTCAAGGAAAGCTCCAAGTTGATGGTCTCCTTTTCGGTTGTTGTTTTTTGTTTCATGGGAGTACTGGGTATTGAACCTAGGGCTTTATGTACGCCAGGCGAGAGCTCTACCACTGAGCTGCAACCCAAACCCTAGAGGCAGTCTTTTTATTTGTTTTTTCCTTTCCTCCTTTGAGACAGGGTTTCTCTACATAGCTTTGGCTGGCCTGGAACTCACTCTGTAGACCAGGCTGGCCTGGAACTCACAGAGATCCAGTTGCCTCAGCCTCCAAGTGCTGGGATTAAAGGCGTGCACCACCGCAACCAGCACAGTTTCTTAATATGTAGGGAAAGGAAGGGGGTTTCTTGCCACGGTAATACATGTATCCGCACACTGTTTCCGTGGTGCTGGGTTTCAAATTCACATTTGTTAAACAACAGTGCATGTGGCAAAACTAGGTGACAGGACCAGGCGTGGCAGGAAACACTTACGTCCCGGCACACAAGAAGCCGAAGTGGAAGAATCTAAGCCCAGGGATTCCAGACTAGACAGGGCAACATAGCAAGACTACCCTTCTTATTAAAAAGGAAAAAGGAAGTGGAGAGAAAATAACAACTTACCATCAGGCACGGTGATTCATGTACACAGTGCTGTCTGGGAGTCGGAAGCAGTTATCACTGAGCTTGGGAGTTTGAGGCCAGCCTGGGCAACAGCGAGGTTTTGTTACAAACCAAAACAAACACCAGTCGGAAAAAGTTTCCCTGTCAGAATTATCAACAAGTGTGGCCAAAGCCCCTTCTAGGCACAACACTATACCTGAAAATAAATCCATGCCAGCCCTCTCTGGCTTAGAGCACACAGATTTACACATTATACCGTTCAGTTGTTGCCAATAACCATCCAGATCCCGGGAAGGGCACCTAGATGTTAGAATTTCCCAGGACCAACAGCACCGTGAAGAATCTTCTCATGCCAGCTCTAGCTTTGCAGCTACTTTAAAAATATTAACCGGGTGGAGTTCCTGGTGTAATGATGCACGCGTCTCACACTGCATTTACAGAGACTAACCTGGCAACTGTCAAGTTCACGGTATACTGAGGCGAGGGGGGTAGGGAGGGGTGTGTGTGTGTGGGGGTGTGTTATGTGGAATCCTGACACAGAAGCACACAGCCTGACACAGCCTTCCTCACCCCAGCCCTGTACCCTTCCGGGAGGATCAGGGAGACTTCAGAGCTGCCAGCCAGCATTCACTGGGCTCCGCTGCAGGCCACGGGAAGGAACAGGTCACTCCCTCCATCTCCCAGCTGAGCAGACTTGGAACACCGGCCTAGCAGGCTGCCACTGATGGAATGTGTGGCGAGTTCTGTGGGCTTGTGCCTGGCCACCAGTGGCTCCTGCTCCAAAGAGAAGATACGGCTCTCTTACCTGCAGCACATGCCTAGCATGATAGCTCAGTAGCTAAGAACCAAGCACATCTCCAGGCTCATCTGGCTGCCCCTCTATTTCCCCTAGTGGTCCCACCTACATGAAGGTACCTGCCTCTTGCATACTGTTACCCTAGTGGCTAAGGCCCAGTAGGTTTTACCTTTCTCGCCCAAGACTTCCCCTTTCCTTTATTCTCACAGGTCTATGGATGGAACACCACTTGGCCAAGAAATTGCTGTGACTACCTCTGGGTCTTGGCTTCCCCATTGGTAAAAAGGAGGGTACTGGGAAATGTGATTGATATTTTAGATGGAAAGCAGAATGGCCATTTTGGTTTAAAGCATTTTCAGGTACGTCTAGTTTCCAGGAAACCCAGGTACACCTTATTTGATCAGCATTCTGATTGGCTTGGGGCTTTCTGGGAGGAAAACTTAACTTTTGTTCCCAAAGTTTTGTGACTAAAGTGCAAAAAAAAAAAAAAAGCTGAGCCTGATGTAGCAATGACAGCTGTCGTTTCTGTCACTTAGGTAGCTGAAGCGGGTGCACCACTCCAAGTCTGAGACTGGTCTGAGACCCCAGTTCATAGTAAAATAATAAGATAACAATGGCATTAAAAAAAAAAAAAACCCTAAAGACCGGTCCAGTGTCGTTGGTACTAGCACAAGGGTCTCAGGTTTCTGGGCCTCTATGACCACAAACTCAGAAAAGGTCCTTCTGAGCCGGAGTCAGGCTCTGCCACACTTAGGTAGAGACCCAAGAGACAGCCGGTCAGGGAACCGGCAAGGAAAAATACACCAGCCTGGACCGCCGGAAGAGCCTAGACTCACCACCCTGTCTCCATGAGACCCACCTGGGCCAAAGGACACTGGCAGATGTGTCAGCACCCAGAGTAACTGCGGACACCTCCAAAGTGGGGCTCGCTGCCTGGAGTCACCCCTGGCCAACCCTCTGCGCTAGGCCCTGGGCTTGGGGTTTTATCCAAAGTGACCTCCGCGACCCTACGGACAGACAAAACCACAGATCCCTCAGCGGCTGGGAGTTAAGTCTCCATATCTACGGAGCCTCAGTTTCCCCATCCCCACACGGGCAAGCCCCCAGAGGAGGGAACGAACTTACAAAAGTCCCGGGACTGGCACCCTTTGTGCCCCGGCAGCGCCCCACCCCCAGCGAGGCGCACACAGTAGGCGCTCCGGAAACGCTCTCCGAAAGGAGGAGCGGGCCACTTCCTGCCCCCGAGCTGACTCCTGGAGTCCGGGTCCCACCGCTCCGCCCCCGGCCCGGGCCATGTGGCATTCCTAAGGTGGGTGGGCGCAGGAAGGAGGTGCCGCGGGCCCGCCCCCTCCGGCGCGTGGGCGGGGCGAAGCCCCCCAGCTCCGCGGGCCCGCCCCCGGGGGTGGGCGTAGCTGGCCACGCTCCGCGCAAAGTTTGTTTCTGCCTCGGGGCGGTGGGGGAGGGTGCGGCGGGCGCGGTGGGAGGAGAGGGGATCTGACGTCAGGTCGCGAGGTGCTTTCCAGCCGCGAGCTGTCAGGCGGGTGTCAGACCCGGCAGGTACGCGGCGCGCTCCCCCGGCGCCCCCCCGCCCCGGCCGGGCCGTCCCGCACCCCGCCGAGGCCGCGTGGGCCGGAAAGCCGCCGGGGAAGGTAAGTGCGGGACGCCGGAGGGCTGGAGACGCGGGTGGGGGCGCGCGGACAACTTGGAAAGTTTCTTGGGGCGGCGGGGCGGGGGCGGGGGCGTCGTCCCGGCGCGTGCGACAGTGGGTGTGTGAGCCTGGGTGTGTGTGTGTGTGTGTGCGCGTCCCGACCGCTGAGCTCTGGCGCGGGATGTCGGGGGAGGGGGAGGCTTGTTCGGGATCCTTTGGGGGGGGGGTCGGCTCCCAAAGATCCCAGCCTGGGAGAGGGCGGCCGGTGCCCCGCAGCGGGGTGAGCGCGCGGGGAGCGGGTTTGTTTGGTTTCAAAAGTGCACGTTGCTAACCGCCGGCAGCCGCCCCCCCCTCCACGGCGGCGGAGCGGGACCGGGGGCCGCCGAGTGACAGCTGGAGGTGGGGGCCGCGGGCGGGGCCCCGACGGGGAGGGCTGGGGAGCCCGCGCGAGTTCCCCTTTCCTTTGGAACAAAGGAAAGTCTGTCTCCGAGGCATCTGTCACTCCCGGGCGGGCCAAGGCTGTGGGGCGCGTGGGGCTGGCGACGCGGAGAAAGTTTGTGCGCGCCGGGACTCCGGGGCCAGGCGAGGGGCAGCCGGGACTCCTGCGGGGGCTGTGCGCGTCCCCGGTGCAGGGGGGGCGGCCAACATGGAGTCTGGGCGCAGGGCTGGGGGGGGGCGGTGCGGAGGTTGGAGCCCAGCCCCCTCCTTTCCCCTCCCCCTCCGGGCCGAGTTCGGAGCACAAAGCCGAGCGCGCACGCTCCGGCGGCCCCGCGCCCCAAGAGTCAGCCTGCGTGGAGTACTGGGGAAGGGGTTGGGAACCAAACTTTTTCCTGCCCTAGAATGGACACGTGAGTTTTCTTTCTTGCAGAGTTTCCCCCCCCCCCGCCAGGTGGCGGACCGGCGGGGGAGCTGTTGCACGCATCGTGACTCGTGGGGGGGGGTACGGGGGATGAGGGTGCCCTGAGCGCCGGCCCATTCGTCGGCGCCCCATGAGCCATGTGCTCCGCTGCGCCTGGGCCGCGGGGGAGGTTGCGCGCTTTGTGTGAGCTGCTGAGAACTCCAGCCCCAGTGTGCGGCCTGGGGGAGAGTATCTGGAGCTGGGAGAGTTGTCAGAAAGTTCCTGTGGGAGTGGCTGCCGCAGATGGTGTTGTGGGAGTGTGTAGGAGATTGTATGGGGTGCAGTGTCCAAGGGTGCAGCCAGTAACCCCGTTAGGGTGAAAGTTGATGGATGGCCAGTGTGATGACGTGCGTGCTCCTCGGTCGGAGAGATCGTGGGTGGGCAGGTCAGTTGGAGTTCGTGGGTGGGCGGGTGCAGGAGTTGAGCTAGTCTCAAGAGTCATTGTAGTCGTTGGTCCTAAGTATGGGGTGTAAATTGTGCGCGTTCGTAAAACTTGGGGAGCTTGTGGGATGTGAGCAGTGATCGGGTCAGTGATTTTGAGCACTGTTAAACTTGCATGGGGAATATCGAGATTGGGGTATTACTGGGATGCGGGTGTGGGAAACGGCAGGCAAGCCCAGGGTGCAGGACCCAGGGATGGAAAAGTTCCCGCTGAGGCCGTCCTCTGGGAACCCTGAAGACTGGGTTCTTGGCTGGCAGCTAAAGTGGAATTTGTAAAGATGACCTTCAGTAAACTTTTCACCAACTGCCAGGGCTGCATCCCTGAGCTGGTATCCCAGCTGTGTGCTGGTGGTTGAATCCCAGCTGTGCTGGTGGTTGAAATGTCTGCCCTCAGAAAGCAGCCCATTTGTGATACTTTGAGGAGCAGTACCTCTGAGCAGTGTCCATTTCACCTCCAGGTGGCCTGGCCGAAGGTAGACCCTTCCCTCGAAAGTCTGGCTTAGCCAGCCCGGAGATCTGGGCTCAGGCCCAAGTCGAGGAAACAAAACCTTGGAGATGCCAGAGTCTGTTGGCTAGGCCTGCTGGGGAGCTGTTAAAAGGCAGAGAAGGGAGGAGCCTTGAGATTCTGGCACAGCCTTGGCCCAGAACTTGTGCTTTGAAAATGTAAATTTCTTTTGCTTGTGTGAACAGGAACTTTGTCTGGTGCAGAGGAGCAGCTGATAGGGGTGCGTTATCTAGGCAGGGAAGGAGGAGGGCTTCAGACTCAGAGAAAGGGGACACTTGATTAGGATCCCGCAGCCCAGTGGGAGTTAAAGCAGGGGCCGGAGCCACACTCATTGATCTGGATTCTGAGATTAAGTCTGGGTCCAGGTCAGAGGCCCCGCGTCCACGGAGAGGGTCTGAGAAACAACTGTAGGAATTGACTCACTACTCTCTGCACTTACAAGTGGCTGGCTGCAGGACCACGGTGAACGGTTTCCAAACCTGCCCCTGGGCCTTGGAAGGAACTGCTTCCTTAGTGGATCCTAAGAAATGGGAATTCTCTTTTTAAAAAAAAAATTATAGGTTTAGTTTTTTTTTTTTTTTAATGTTATGTGTTGTTTGTATGTGTGTGTTCACCTCAGAAATCAGAAGAGGACATCGGATCCCCTGGAACTGGATTTATGGATGGTTATGAACTACCTACCCTGTGGGTACAGGGAATACAACCTAGGTCTTCTGTAAGAATAACAAATGCTCGATTTGTTTTGTTTTTGTTTTTCGAGACAGGGTTTCTCTGTGTAACCCTGGCTGTCCTGGAACTCGCTCTGTAGACCATGCTGGCCTCCAGCTCAGAGACCTGCCTGCCTCTGCCTCTGCCTCCCCAGTGCTGGGATTCAAGGCTTGAGTCACCACCACTTTGACAAATGCTCTTAACTGCTGAGCCATCTCTCCAGCCCCAGAAATTCACTTTTAAAATAAGAACAGGTATGGGGGAGATGGGGTGGTGGTGGCTTGAGCTGGAGAAACGGCTTAATTTAAGAGCACTTGTTCTTGTGGAGAATCTGGGTTCCGTTCCCAGAAGAGACATAGGCTCACAACCATCTGTAACTCCAATTCCAGAGGATCCACCTCCCTCTTCTGGTTTCCCAGAGCACTACATGTGTGGTGCCCAGACACACACTAGGCAGATATGTATATACATAAAATAAAAAGAAATAAAATCTTGGGAGAAGGAAAAATAAGAAGATAATAGAGTACTTTGATCAAAGAATATTATGTGTGTAAAACTCTAAAATAAACAAACATCAAAGGCGAATGAATGCCCTTCTGCCCCCCCAGCCCTAATTAACTGCTGACCCCTCCATGCTGTAGCAAGCATCAGAAGTGACTCTTTTTTACATTTATTTTGTTTATGCGTGTGAGGGTTTTGTCTACATGTGTGTATATACACCGCATGGGTGCCCACAGGTGTCACAAGAAGGCATTGGGTCCCCTGGAGCTGGAGTGACAGGTGGCTATTAACTACCACATGGGTGCTGTGCACTGAACCAGCGTCTCTGGAAGAACAGCCAGAGCTCTTACCTGCTGAGCCGTCTCTCCGCCCCCCCTCTACTCCTTTGTATGGCCAGCTAGTGCTCTCGTTCAGCCGTCTGTTGAAGGTCTCTGCATGGTCTCCACCTTTTGGCTGCTGTGAACATTTGTGCATAGGCCCGAGTTCAAGTTTCAAATTCTGGCTCATGTGGTAACTCCCTGGTGCCTTTGGCAGCTTTCTTAATGTATAAGATGATAAGTTTCTCCTTTTACAGGAGCTTTTGAAGAGTTCAGTGAGGTGATAAAGGTTAAGTTTCCTGGACGGCCTGGAAAACAGAATTCAACCTGGCCATTGACACTGGGAGGCAGAGACAGGAGGATCGTGATTTCAAGACCTGCCTGGGCTGTATAGTGAGGCCCTGTCTCAGTGGAAATACTGAGGAAGCTGTAGTTCGTTCTGGTCCTATTCTGTTTCTAAAAGAGGTGACACTCATGTTTGAGTAATCCCCTCTCTGTTCCATGAATTGGTGACATTTAGGATTCATCCTTCTAGCTTGCTCAGGCTTTGGTACTAGCCACGATTTGGAACTCTGACTCTCATGATGGTGGACTCATTAGTAGGGAAAAGGGGACAGGCATGAAGTGGTAATGTTATCCCCGTCCCGTTTGTCACTTGCCCCAGGCTCCCCAGAGGTCCAGCCTAGGGACCTAGGCACCAACCATGTCGGACAGCGATCTCGGTGAAGACGAAGGCCTTCTGTCTCTGGCCAGCAAGAGGAAGCGCAGAGGGAACCTGCCCAAGGAGTCGGTGAAGATCCTCCGTGACTGGCTGTATCTGCACCGCTACAATGCCTACCCCTCCGAGCAGGAGAAGCTGAGTCTCTCGGGGCAGACCAACCTGTCAGTGCTGCAGGTAAGGTGGCACCAGTCTCCAGCGCTGTCCCTGATCCCTCGGGGGTAAGATGGGAACACCCTGCCTCGTCTCAAGGGAAGACAGGGTGGGGGGTGTCACTGCAGCTGGCCTTGAGGCCTTGGCCCTTCTGAAGGGATAAGGAATTGTTTCTAGTGTCACTGTGGACCTTGAAGGTGAGAAGGCGGCACTGAGTGGCTGAGCTGCAGGCCGCTGCCGCACTGTTTGAACGGGACTTGATTGCAGGACAGCTGGGTTCTGTGGTGTGGTTAAACTGAAGAGATGACCCAGTGGTTAAGAGCACTTCCTGCTCTTCTGTGGATCCAGGTTTATCTCTCTGCACCCAGATCAGACAGCTCAGGGCCTTCTGTAGCCCAGCTCCAGCAGATCTGACGGCGTCTTGCCTCTTCAGGTTGACATAATGCCTATGAATAATTGTTTTTTTCTTAATGTAAAAGAGGAGGTCTTTTAAAAATTGAGCTGGAGGTAGACAGGTTGGTCCACACTTGTGAACCCAGCGCTTGGAAGGAAGAGGAGGAGGATGGCCATACATTCCTCTCCAGTGCCTGGTGGACCTGTTAGGAGGAACAGAGTTCGAACCGAATATAAAAGAACCTTTGTAAACAACAAACGGGGGGTACACTCGAGATGTTTGTACTTGAAGTAGTGTCTCTTTTCGATTGTCCTGTTGGCTCGCAGAAGGCTTTGCTCTGTTTCCATGATGCTGACGGGCAGTGCT